GTTGGGGACAATCCAAACAAATCGATCTTCCATATGCCACAGCGATATCGGTATGTACAGATCATTGGTGAGTGAGGTCTTATCAACAGATTTATGCACACCGTGCTGACAAACTTCTAGGCAGCAGGAAAAACACCAAATCGAAGAGACTTGCTGATGACAACCGTTGAGGGATGCGAGACTGTACTTACGTCTTGAGGATCTCATGATGCAAATTGCAAAGGAGCCAAACCAAGGCCTGAAACAAATCAACGGCCGTAATTTCACCCCTAACTGCCACTAATGTTATCATCCCAATCAAACATTTATATTAGGGCTGAAACGATTATACCGAATACTCGATGATCGATCGATAATGAACAAAAGAACGATTAAAGGGGAAGTATACCCTAAAATCAAATTTTCACCAGTTGTAGTCTTCTGGGTGCTGAGTCGAATGGTCTGGGTCCGAGGAAGCTGCGACGCTCTCTTCCTACTCGAATCCCAATCGAACTCGCGCACCTCCACCGAAACTGGGTGACTGCGCCCTACTAGATGGGGATTTGTATGCAAAATGTCACTAAAAGCGCCATTTCGTTCTTATAAAAGCACGGATGACCGCGACTAGCCCATATGTTGTAGTCTTTTGGACGCTGAGTCGACTGGTTTTGGTCCGAAAAGGCTGCGATGCAGCGTTCCTCCTTTATTCCCAATCGAACATGGTTGAACAAGCGGTCACGTGCTCCTGGGTGCCCAAATCACCTGGTCACCGCGCCAGCAGGCGACAACTTTCACACCAAGGTTCAACTCGAGTTCAACTCGAGTGACAGGACTGCACCCAAAAAAGGTCAAACAGGCTAGTAAGTTGTACCCTGCAGGCACGGTGACCAGCTGACTGGTGTACGCAGGAGCACGTGACCGCTTGTTCAACCATGTTCGATTGGGAATAAAGGAGGAACGCTGCATCGCAGCCTTTTCGGACCAAAACCAGTCGACTCAGCGTCCAAAAGACTACAACATATGGGCCAATCGCGGTCATCCGTGCTTTTATAAGAACGAAATGGCGCTTTTAGTGACATTTTGCATACAAATCCCCATCTAGTAGGGCGCAGTCACCCAGTTTCGGTGGAAGTGCGCGAGTTCGATTGGGATTCAAGTAGGAAGGGAGCGTCTCAGCTTCCTCGGACCAAGACCATTCGACTCAGCACCCCGAAGACTACAACTGGTGAAAATTTGATTTTAGGGTATACTTCCCCTTTAATCGTTTGGCAAACGATTACCGATTATTTTTTGCGCGTTCTCAACATTTTTCAAGATTTTGTTGTAAAAAATCAAGAAAATTTAAGGCACTTTTCGTGCATCCGATACTCGCGCGTGGAGCTCTTCGCGGGACCAGGGAGCACTGCATTTAGAAAAGCGATCCTGTCAGCTTTTCTATTATTGTGTTCACATGGCGCTACCTAACGACACCGCTATTCAGACACGTTGTCTACGTAGCTACGTAAATTTCTACGTAAGATGCTCGGTACCTGGTCCTGGACCAGGGAGCTACTCCATGGCTCCTAGATCCTACCATCGCGCGGCCGGCTGGCCACATGCGTGGGCATTGCAGACTTTTTGTTGTTGCCTTTTCGGATGTGCATGCACGAGGAACTTCCTTCTTTGGAACTGCTTCTTGCATGAGCTGTTTCGGATATTTCGTCTCCTGGCCTGGCTTATTTCGTTTCGGCGCTGCTGAGACCTCCTTTCGCGGAATATTACTCAATGACAGGTGAGTTGACCAGTTCCCTTTGATTCATTTGCTTGTGTTGACTCTTTCATTTACGAAAAGTGTGCTGATTTTGGGCGGAATGCAATAAATAATGGAAAAGCTGACAGGATCTCCTTTCTAAATTTAGCTTTTCCGCTGCCGAGGCCTCCTTTTACGGAATACTCAATGACAGTTGATCTCTGAGTTGACCAGTTTCCTTCGATTCATTTGCTTATGCTCACCCTTTCATTTACGGAAATGTGTGCTGATTTTAATTTTTCAGTATTCGGATTTAGATCCATTTCTATCTCTTTGTCCTTGTCTACAGTGTTCGAAGAACGCGAGTTCACCTTCTTGACGGTAAGGCTTATGTTAGATGTGTTGTCGAATTACTCATAATTATTCATTGCACATTAGTACGTTACAAGTAAGGCACTGGTCAGTGGCATACTATCGTTGGCATTTCCCAATCTGGAGGGAAAGGTTCAAGGACTCATTGACCGAGTTTGCCAAAATAAATTCGCATATCAGGGAACATCTCCATTGTGGAGAGGTTCAGTAACTTGTTTGCTTCATACGAAACAAGCCAATGGGTGCAGTCTCGTCTCGTGAAAATCTCGTACTTGTATGATTGGATTTGTTTACTCTAGTCTGGGCTGTTTGATTTGTGAGTACCGCCAAGATTGCACTGCCCCAAATAAAGTTTCGTGCCACCAAAGCAAGAATTGCGATCTGCAATCTGTTTGTAGTACCTGCAAGAATGTGCAGTACATGTATCGTACTTTCTCTGTTGCTGTTTCAGTTGCCGTCATGTTGCTAAAGAAAGGTTCAGAGTCGGTGTCTCTTAGGGGGTGATTATATGTGCAGCTCCAGCCCGGGCTGGTCGACAGGCGGGCCAGCCCGCCTGCAACGGGATCTCGGGGTTGTACACAAATCCACACAAAACCTGTGGTGCGTTTACATGGCAAGCGGGCTGGCCCGGCGAGGCGGGATCCCGCCTCGAGGCACCCGGGATCCCGGCTAGGCGGGCCAGAAAAAGCACATATAAACAGACCAGCCCGGGCCAGAGTTGTATTATTATGGTATCGACACTGCGTTCATACTACAAAATAGGTACTTTTACCTTTTGAGGGAAGTTATAGAGAGGATTCCCGATATTGTCTTGAAAATCTAGGAAGCTTTTGTACAGCAACAAGAAGGACGTGCAATGAGCACTGTTTATTTGTCGACATGCATGATTTACATTAAAATGGAAGGGGAACTACTTGCAAAATACTTTGATATGGACAGCTAAAAATGTGAAAAACAGGAAAAAGAAACGAGGTGATACAACACACCAAACATGTGTCACAGCGCGAAAATAAACCAGCAGAAGAATACATTGTGTGAGAAAAAAAGTTTTTATGTTTATAACCTGAGTATGGCTTGCAGCCCTGCGTCTCAGCCCGGGGCAGCACATTACAGTCGTAGTGTGTTTGCTGCATACTCACAACGGGCTGGCGTGTGCTCAGCGCATATAAACTCACTACGGGCTGGCGACCAGCCCGGCCTTGCACATGTAAACACCCTTGGCGAGCTGGCCCGCTCGCTCCAGCCCGGGCTGGAGTTGCACATATAAAAGGCCCCTTAGAATCTTTCGCTGTAGAAGAAATCTATTCGTATGTCTATTGGAGAAATAATTGTATTTACTGGTTATAAAATAGGTTAAGACAAACTCACAGAATAAATACCATCGGTCCCTTGGTGTTCGTCCTAAAGAGGTTCGACTAGATATCATTCATACTCACCAAAAGATCATGGTGTAAGATTTTATTATCATGGAGTGCCTTGTTTATCTCTCAGTATCAGTACCTCCAACCATAGCCTTGACCCTTTTATCCTCAGGATCAGTGCAGTTGTTGGAACGAGGTGTCGGACTCAGCAATGTATTTGTTTACATTTTAATACATGTTTATTGTTCCTCCTTTGCTGTGTTGTTTTAGAAAATCGTGGACTAACAGTTTGAAGTCATTGAACTACTTCCAAAAGTTGTATCGACATGAACAGGATTACGATTTCAGTGCAATATGATGCTGGATGACCTTATCACGATAACCCATGATTATAAACCATTATAAACACAGAATCAACAAAAACATCTGCGACACGCACCTGGCGCATGGCTACATTTCTCAAATAAATCTGATCGAGGGTGGGGAAATCTGAAATATCTGAAAGGCAAGACAAATTTATGACAGTCATGAAATTCTGCAACAGCAACATGCACAGAATGACCTCCGTATAAAAACCACCACTACTCACATGTTTCCCCGCAGAAGAACATGCATTATGATAGTGCCATTTTCTGCAAGAAAAGGCTTGCACATCAATGCGTATAATACGGTATTGCTATGATCAAGAGTACATAAACCTCTTGATATGATGTGAAGGCCATCATTTATATAATTATTGATATAGGGCATTCCATTGATTGGTGACAGAAAAAAACAAAAGAAATTATAGCAAGAAAAACTGCTTTATGGCAGTTTTCTAAAAAAAGTTATTGTGTTCTAGTCCATTGACCCCGTCTAAAAAGTAAGAAATTACCGAAATGTGATAGCTGAAAATTAAAATTTCACACAAAACCTCACAATATTCACACACAGAATTAAAGGCTACATGTAGAAGACCTTTTCCCCTCGTGATCCTCTTTCCTATGCATGCATGTTGCCAATTGTTGGTGCAGTACAAGTTAAAGTTGAAAGCAGCATTTCAATTGTTGTGATTATTGCGAGGTTTTGTGTGAAATTTTAATTTTCAGCTATCACATTTCGGTAATTTCTTACTTTTTAGACGGGGTCAATGGACTAGAACACAATAACTTTTTTTAGAAAACTGCCATAAAGCAGTTTTTCTTGCTATAATGTACATGTGTACGGTTGCCCTGCACTCGCCGTAGTCCTCAACGCGGTGCCAGGGAGCCCTGCACGTAGACCTATGTGCAGTAGGGGTGGCCTTGTACTGGCAGCAGCTCTACGCGGTAGATCTACCAGTGCTAGGGAGCCCTCGAGGGCCTCCGCGTTGTACCCGTACACTGCATGCATGCTTGCGACAAATTTTATCGAGTGCAGTGGTTTCGTAGTTTCATCTTGGAAAGACTTCGGAAAGACTTCGGAATGCGTCCAGAACGAAGCGTTCTCCGATTTGGGAGTTCTTCAACGATCCAGTAGATAAAAAAGTTGAGTGTAAGCAATGCGAGAAGAAACTTGTCTACACTGGTGGAACGACAGCCATGCGCGAGCATATGAAGCGCGCTCACCCGCTCCTTTTCGGTAGATGTGACGGTGAGAAGTCGTCGGCAAAGCAGTCATCGATGCTGCAGCACGTTGCTGTGAAGCCCGCGGCAAAGCAAATGTCTGCGTCGACTGCCAAAGAAATCACCGGCAGTCTGACTGACTGGCTTGTTCGTGATCTACGGCCGTTGTCGATCGTCGACGATGTCGGGTTCCGTGACCTGATGGGACGGGTATCGCCCGGTTACGTGATTCCGTCGAGGACTCACGTCTCCAAGCTGATCGGGCAGCGCCACACCACCGGTCTCTCTGCCCTTACGAGTCGATTGAAGTCCGTCTCTGGCTGCTGTCTAACGACGGACGCCTGGACATCGAAGGCCACGCAGTCGTACAACACTGTAACTGTGCACTTCGTGACCGAAACTTGGGAATTGGAGAGCGCTGTTGTCGAGACTGCTCTCTTTCCAGGCTCCCACACCGGCGTGAGGATCGCGGAAAAGGTATCGGATGCAACGAAGAGAGTGGGACTCAAGCCTGCTCAGGTAATTGCAGTGGTGCACGACGAAGCGAGAAATGCGGAGCTTGCTGGTCGACACCTACTCCAAGATCATGGCTGGGAGTCAGTGACCTGTTCTGCCCATCTCCTTCAAACGTGCGTGCGACATGTGCTTGAAGATTCAGCTCCTGCACAGAAATTGTTGAGTGCTGCCAGGAAGTTGGTTGGGCACTTTCGCCATAGCGGTCAAGCAACAGAGGCTTTGCTTGCAAAGCAGGTCCAGATGGGGAGCACATCACCTGTAAAACTGACCCAGGATGTACCTACGCGTTGGAACTCTGCACATGACATGCTGAAACGTCTGGTTGAGCTACGACTGCCCGTCATGGCTGTACTGACTGCTCCAGGTAAGCAGCATTGTGTCATGGTATGATTTGTATGCCTAGTTGCTATACCTTTGCTATTGCTGTGACGGGTTTGGTGGGATTGAGCTGTTACATCGTGAGTCGTGACTTGTTCTTTGCGCTTGAAATAGAATTGTTTCGTCCTATCTGGTTTGCCAGGTTAAAGTCCTGTTTTTGTACTTTGTTGACTGCCACAGGCCAAAATCGGAACTTGCTCTTGAAGGATACCCAGTGGACACCAGCCGAGCAGCTGACAGCAGCCCTGGAACCACTGAAAGCAACTACAACAGTATTCGGCGGCCAGAAGTATGTCACCTCTTCTCTCGTGCTGCCTGTTGTGGCCAGTATTATCGAGAGGTACTCTGAGCCTGTGAAGGACACCTGTGTTCGTGCTGTGGAGAACATCCGTGCTGCACTTGTGTCAGAGTTGCAGGTTAAATTCCGTCTGTCAGACGTGACATCGGCATCCCCCCTCGTGCTCGCTGCAGCTTTGGATCCCAGGTTCTGTGGCCTAAAGTTCACGTCCCATGTCCTGTGTGAGCCGGATGCTATCAAGGCTGCACTAGCTGAGGAGATGAAAAAGCACACCGCTCAACCACCTTCTGTTGTCGCGCAGGAACCGCAAGCCAAGCGCAAGCCCGAGGACACAGGCCTTCAAGCTCTGCTGCATGGAGCTGTGTACGATGCCACAGCTGTGGAGAATGAATCGCCTGCCCAGGAAGTAGCACGGTACAGGTCCTCCCTCGTTAGTAGATAATCTCTGGGCCATCGAAAAAGTTATCTTATAACGAGACTTATCTTGTAGCAGGACTTGCAGCTAAAGGTGAAATAGGCACTACTTCGTACTTACCGTGGCTACCCTCGATGCAACATAAATTATCGATGCTTCAACTCGTTATAAGATAATTGAAAATCTCCAACATAACTCTTCCTTGGATTCAAAGGATCGTCCATATTAACGAATACATAGACATCATACGTTTCCTCGTTCTGCTTCATCCTACATGTTTTGGCCTTGGTCCTGCATGGTCAATATTATCTTATACTGAGGGTTTGGCACTCCAGGGACCTGGGCAAAGGGTCGTTATTACGGATCTTATGTACTAACGGATTATGTTGTAACCGGACCTGTAAACAGTTGTATAGACCACGTTTCGCCAGGGGATTTCAGATTTCTATTTACTAACGGGGTTTATGTACTAACCGGACTCGTTATAATGAGGGAGGACCTGTACTGCAGTGAGAGGATGGAGGGCATTGAGATCAAACCTCTGGATTGGTGGAAGTGCAATTGCACCAGGTTTCCTGGTCTTGCTGTCCTGGCTCAGAGGTATCTCTCTATCACAGCTACATCAGTACCGGCTGAGCGTGTGCTCTCTGCTTGTGGCGTTCTTGTCAACAAACTTCGCTCGTCCCTGGCACCATCATCCATTGACGCTATGATCTTCTTGGCGAAAAACCAAATCACAGTTGCACCAGAGCAAGCCGAGGAGGAGGAGGAAATGCCAGCGCTGCCTAACTTGGCTGCCGTGGAGTGCCAGCTTGTTGTCAGTGGCTCAGATTCAGAGCTATCTGGGACCAGCACTGACTCTGATTCTGATGCCTCTGAGTGACACGTATAATTATGAACACTGAATAGTACACTATTTGAGTATATTATATGCTTGAAGTTGTAGTCACTTACCGCCAGTCTCTCAGAATTCTCTTTACGTCTTCCATTCCTCCCTTCGCCCCATTATACCGTCACAGCTGCTGCCTGCACCGCGCATTTCAAACTTGATCCTCTTGACATATAGCAGCCACCATATCCGGTCGTTTGAAAAAGTGCTTGAAAAATGTGAAAAATTGGCGTGTTGGATAATATTATATTGCAGCTCGTTAAAGGTTATAATCGTTAGATCGATCGTTAAGCAAACGAGTAATCGGTATGCAAAATGTTGCGATCGTTTCTGCCCTAATTTATATCCATACTATTGACCAGTGAGCAGCTGCAGGAAAACCTCACAAAACTCCCTACTTGTTGCCACTATCCATCGTCCTGTGTTTTGGACTGCGCTACTAGTCTAGGTAGCATAGATCCATTGCCACATGAGACGCTTCACACTCTATGTTGCCCTAGGGCTGATTCTCACTGTGACGTCACGGGAGGCATAGGATGTGAATTCAGTGAATAACCCGGCCTATCGATGGGATTACACTGGAATGGGTGGAACTAGTTGCATTAGTTCAACTGAGGATAAGAGAAAATGTGAAATGGGCGATAACTTATGAATACGGATTCACGCCTTTCCCATTTTACTTCCCTATAGAATACAGCAGAATATCGCTTAGTGCGTGAAACGCGGAGTAAAAACACTTTCTCTTTCCTCCTATTTTTGAATATAGCAGAATAGGTCAAATTACCACACTACACCCAATGCTGGACCTGCCCGATTAACGTGTCCAGTGCTGAGCAAATCTGCTACATTATCACTATCAGGGACACTAGTACTCGTACCTCTTTGCTACATTATCACTATCATTTACACAAGTACTCGTACTTCTTTGCTTCATTATCACTATAAGGGACACTATTACTCGTACCTCTTTGCTGCATATATACAGGAAAATGACTAGTCAACTTCAAAATTGATATTCTTAATCAATCTGGATTTGTTTCACATCACAGTTTGTTGGTTATTCAATCTCCCATGGACGAAATTGATGTGTAGCTGTTGAAAGTGCTGGTACGTTTGGGCTATCCTTGGTCTGCGTTCGTCATGGATTTACCTGCTCGCGAGGAGCGACTCACATTTCCAGAGCTATGCCGATTCTGCGAAGTATCCTACTACCATATTATGCGTCAGTCCACTCATCTCGCAGATCCAGCGACAGTTTTGTCTCTAGACGGAAAAGAACCCAATAATAGCAGACTTTGTTGGGGTGCCCCGTTATTCGAGAGTGATGTTGTAGTGAAAGCTGCGGTTGAACTGCTTCCAGGATTCAGAATGTCGTCAGAAATCCTGCCATTGCCCGGCAGTAGAGGATCTGCCGAAGCAGCAACTATGGTCAGGAAGTTTCTAATTCGTTCCATGTGTTTGGGTAGGTATTTGCATTTCGCTTTGAAAACGTTCTGTATACTACCAAGTAGTATATGTATGAATAGACCTCCCGTGTATGGCTTGTATATTGTCCAATATTCTCTAAGTAAGTCCGGCCTTCAACTTTTCCGTGTGACAAGAATCTCACTCAATTTAAACGTGCGCATTGTGTCCAAACAAAAACAAATTTCCATACAGAAGGTTTTCATGTTATCCCAGTTCCTATTTCCTCTTCTTGAAAAGACGCCACGTTCACAGTTGAAGCAGAATGTCAGACGTATCCGACGGAGAATGAGGAAGGAAAAGATGAAGCGACGGAACAAGGAATAGTTGGGCGAAACTCGTCTTGCATTATAATTACTATAAGCACTGCACTGGATTATCTGACTTTCGGTCAATTCGCTTGTTTTCTGTTGTGAAGTCAATTCCTGGCATTGCTGAAGAGTTCCGTCGCATGCCCGATGTCTACAGTCTAGTATCAAGGCTAACTCGAGCTGTGGAACACACCATACTCGAGTTCCTTTTTTCGTATTTTGTCTTGTTGACTGATCAAAATGATCAGATATTGTCTCCACTCCTAATCTGGTACAATTGCTTAGTCATGCATAAATGAGGTTTGCTATTCGCTTCATTTGCAAAACCCTGGCAACGTGGGTCAAATAAAATGTTGAAGACACTTGTTAAAACTTACTTCCGTAGTGGAAGTGGAACATTGGAAGTTGAGCCTGGTTAGAGTTTCGCGTGGCACAGGAAGACCACACACAGGCACTTTGCGTGGCCCTGAATACAATACCGTACGCATGATGCTGATTTGAATTTGTGGAATTTAAAATAATTGTTTGTGATGACAAGACCGCATCGAGCAGAACTGAATTCTATCCACAAGCTTAACGAGAGTCAAGCTGCCAAAATTCCCACAGTTATACACCACTGCTTAAAAACGGTCTCTGGCTACAAATTCTTCCAAATTTATAAAATCCAAATTTTCGGGCCAGGAATATCTTCAGGAAGAATAAATCCAGACAACTGCGATTCCAAGTGGTCTGACATCTGTAGCCTCATTAGTCTGACGTGATTTGTTACAATGTTGTCGCCAAATTGTGCAAAAATAACACTCATGACCGCCCCAGATGGCAGTCGTGAGTCAGTCAAGTTCGACAGGAACGGTGTGATCCTCCATGGAACAACCAACTGTTTCACTGACACCGCTGAAGTCGCAACGGCTAAGTTTGTATCGGTGTCCTTCACGCGGACGTGCGACCAGTTGTTTAAGGTGACAGCGTTGTGAATAACCACTGGCATTCAACGTCTGTTTAGCAAAGCTCCATGAGCGACTCTGACTCACGCTGATACCTGGGGCCTCACGAGGTGTTTGTAGCGCTGGAAACGTAGTCTCTGTAAGTCTGTACACCAGGTGATGGTTTGGCTTGAGAGCACTACATGTATGTTGTGATTTTCAGGCACAATCTTCCTCAGCTCAACTCAACTGCTCAAGCTCAGCTGGCGAGGGGTGAATTCTCCGAAACACTTTGTATTGAGCAGGGAATGGTGCTTTCTTTCAAGTTTGCCGAGTGAAAGGCAATACAAGAGTACGTGCAACGTGCTGCTCGTATGCTCTGGGTGGCAGTCGTGAGTGAGTCAAGTTGCAAGTTCCACAGGAAGCGGGTGTTGCTCATTGGCGAGACCACGGCTTCTTGCACCGCTGCCTGTCCAGGTCAGTGGCCTAGACGGTATTAAATGTGTTTTAACTGTCTGATTATTTCTTTGTATGCGTTGCTTGCTTACTTGTAGTTTGTCTTCTGCAACCATGTTTCAACCTTGATAGTGCTTACGTTTTGTGATTTTTTTGCCGCGAGACCGCCAACTGCCATCTTCTCAGATTTGTGTTGGGTTTCAGTTCCCGATTGGGCAACAATGAATTGGATTTAGTTTTTTCTTCAAATTCTTGTCGTTTCGTTCATTTTTTTGTATTGAGATTTTGTGTCATAATATTATATATATAAGCATATTTGCTTTGCCCGTACCAGAGGCTTTTATCATTGGAACTACCAGCATCATCACTAGAGAGGTTTTGCAAAGCGATAGTTCGCAATGATTTTCGCGTTCCGGGTTGCGAAAATTATTGCGACCGTTCGCCCGAAATTTGTGTTTTGCATGTTTTTCCTCCAAGACAAGTTCGTGTGCACCCGGGCCTGTTTGAGACGTCGTCTTCATCCGATTACAGTATTTTTTCGTTGCGAGTGGCGGCACCCCGAGTCACGGCCTTAGACGAGAGCTCTTTGACTACATTGCCCATGGCCGGGGAGCCACAGACAACCAGGTTGGCTTGTGCCGTAATCTGGAGCATGAACACCTGAAATTCAAAAAGGCATCATTGATGTAACCAACTCTGAGCAGTGAGAAGACGAGCAGGCAGTCTGGAGATCGGAGATGGTTCCGGAGATGAAGCAACACGGGATGCCACAAGTATGCAAGCTACCACTCGCGGATCAAGCCAAGAAGTGTGATCGTTAACATAATACATGGAGGCAATGACTAAGACGCATATTTTTCCATAATTCGTTGCTGACTGAAAGACCCAGGAAGGGCCTTGTGGGATACCATGTATACATATACATGTAATACATACAAGATAATGTTGAAGTCTTGACACTTTTACCAGCAGTGTAGTTCTAGC